GGAAACCTTCCCAGCGTCTTACAGTCCACGGTCGCCACTTGAGGACTTTACTGTCCCAACGGCTATCCTTGCCCTATTATTATTGCCGCTTCAGTTTCGCTATTCGTTGAGCTATGTCAGATTCGTTGAGCTATGTCAGTCACTCTAGTTCTTCTGCGGATTTCCACATTTCTGATTCTATTTTAAATACTAGCTGCTAATCGCGACATTTGGTGCAATATTTGTATTTCAATTTATATGGCAAAACAACATTTGCCGGATCAACAATATTTCTATAGTTTTTTGGAAATACTCTTATAATTATGTCATTTAACTTGACTTTAATCAATCAAACTTTGCTAATTACATTTTTCTTCTTTTGAAAGCCCTCTCTATAATATATTCTATTTATTACTATCATTAAATTATTGACGACCTCGGTGGTCTAGCGGTCTAGCACACCGCTTTACGTCCGATGGTCGCGGGTTCGATTCCTCGCACGGCACAAACATTTGTATTCATGAGTATGATTGTTTGTATCGGTCTGGGTATTTCCTATGTATAATATGTATGTGTTTACGAAAAAAAAAATTATCTATGTATTTATATCAGTAATCTAGTACCCATAACACAAGCTTTATGTAGCTTAACTTGGGTCTAGATGGCGCTGTGTGAATTGTCCTGAGATTATTATTATTATTATTAAATTATACAAAGCTACCGCCCCGGCTTCGTACGGGTGTACATGTATTATACATATAAACCTTCCTCTTGAATCACTCTATCTACTGCTAAACTAACTGCATTAAAATCCGTTGCGTAGTTTAAGAGATCTAAGCGAACAGACAGCGGAAGCAAACTCATATTATGTACAGATATGTTATTCTTAGTAATATTATAAATGCGACAGTTTGTAAGTATGGATGTTTCTAACTCTTGCACGCAAAAACTATTGTACAGATTTTGATGAAACTTCACAATAATATCAGAATAACATATAGCCTATATTTTATATCCAAATTTAACATGTAGATGTAGATTTATGAAATTTTGATTTTGATTTTTTATGAAAAATTGAATTACAAAAACATGTAGATTTATTGTTATTTAATTTCACGTTGACTGTTATAAAATGCCTCAAGATTTTAATTCTGCCATATGCAGCTTTATTTGTGTATTTGTGCATTGAAGTATTAATAAATAAAAAAATAACAGTTTCTTTTTCAAGCAATACTACAGTACTGCTCTATATTGGAGTTGGCAACACTGGCTAGTGTATCTAAATAGCAATAAATCAATATACATGACCTAATTACCTACATAAACGACAGTAGAATCTTGAAACACACCCACTCTCCACTCTAAAACACATCATTATTTACTCGTGTGGAGTTCAATAAATATACGGTATTGAATTTTATAACCTATATGTTATTCTCATATAAGCTATATTATTGTAAAGTTTCATTAAATTCCATTTTTATGTGAGGGGTACACGTTTTTACATTGTAAAAATGCATAGACTTCGTTCTGGACATTATCCATCGGTAAAGTTTGCATACCTGATGAAAAAAAGCAATTCACAAAATTGTGAAGTATGTGGTACAATAGAGGATGTTTATCATTTGCTGATGGAGTGTGTCAGCAACGAGAGTCTACGACATGGAATAACGTCAGACCATGAAATAAATATATTAGATGTTGGTGCCATACAAACTGTTTTAGCCGATCCTTCGGGCGATGCGGCTAAGGCAATTTGTTCACTGGTGAGGTAATGGAGTGATTGGTTTTAGGGTACAATGGGACTGACATGTACTTAGATGGTACAAAAGTCCCTAAATTTAAAAAGAAATTAAAAAAAAAAAAAAATTAAAATCCATTTAGTAGTTTTTGCGTGAAAGAGCAACAAATATCCATCCATACACACAATCTTTGGCGTTTATAATATTAATAAGATTGCGGCGTGGAAGTCCATCCGGGTACTGCCGGACTTACCAATTAAAAACCCGAGGTGTTCCTTCTTTTTACCTTTTGCCGGAGGTTCGGGAAAATGGTTCTAGAGTAACTAAATTTTAAACTAGTTTTAAACCAGTTACCAATACTACCAATAATACCGATATACATACCAATAATAAAAATATAATATATATATCTCATGTCATATTCTCTGTTAACTTTATAATGCCTTTATACGTAGTGATGTAATTTTTTTAAGAATTAGTCTATTGTTATTAGTGAAAGCCTGTCAGTGGCTTATTATGACGTATATATTGATTTTATTTAAGATGTACTTGAATAGCCTTGGTTTTCCTTTAATAAATAAATAAATATATATATATAAACCATAATAATAATATGAAATGAAATGATATTTATTCAGTAGAAGAAAAAAATAAAACACACATTAAAGAAACAAAAAAAAAATAACAAACAGTGCGACAATAAAAAAAAAAAACAGTACACAAATTACGTGTGTGCGTGCGTGTGCGAGCATGTGTATGTCTGTCATATAAATACCAATAACACCAATGCGTCCATTAACTTTTAATTTCAATAATATAACAGTGTAAAAGAATAGCTTGTTTTTTATACATTTTATTTTGTAATCAAAACTATTTATGTTTTTTTTTTATTTATATATGTACTCAACTATCTACAAATGTAATTAACATGTTTATAATATCGGCACTATAGTGGCAGATTGCCGCCGTCGCTGTTTTTTACTTAATTTTATTTATTTATATAACTTTAATGCACACAGTACAAAAGTAACAGTACATTTGGCGGACTTAACACCATGCGGTATTTTCTACCAGTCAACCATAGGTGGTGCAGAGAAAAATTGTTGGCATAAAAAATGATATAATAATATTTATACTATTACATTTACAATAATACATAAATATAAAAATATATAAACAAAGAAGGAATATATAATATGATATACAATTATTATAATAATATATTATAATATGAAATACAATTAATATTAGTGCCTAGGCTCACTAAAATGAAGTAAAAAATTTTCGGCACTCAATGTCTATTGTGAAAATTACTTTTATTTGTATATTTATGTTTTTATAACGACTGTTTGTTGCCAATATAAAGAGAAAAAATAATAAGGTATTTATAATGACCCATATTATAAACTTATCCTAATAGACGTAGAAGCAAGCGTAGCGTAGTAGTAATATAGTCTGAAATAAATTAATAAAAAAAATATATAATTAATTGGAGGGATAGTTAGTACTAGCTTTATATATCGAAAGCCAGGATTAAATGTTTTAAATTATACTGTATATTTGTGAATAAAATATTATTATTATTATTATTAAAAAAAAAAGAAAATTCTAGAACATAAGTAGCATAAGTTACTCCTTATAACATTAGCTATCTGTGAATGAAGGTCCCGTAAAAATCGGTCGATTCGTTTCAAATATCTGGTGGGATATGATGGTATTATGATATAGCGTGCTTCTCCAGAAGAAATTTACTCACCATAGACTTTAATAGTCCAAGGTTGTATTTCACCATAATCAAGAAAGTAGGAAGTGTGTCGTCACTTTAGCAGTATTGTTAAAAATATAGACAGAAAGGTTTAATATTCTAAGGAAGGTGTTACATATGAATGTCGTTGATTATAAGGGCGATGGAAGACCGAAAAAGATATGGATGGACTGTATGAAAGATGATATGGCAAGAAAGGGAGTAAAGATCGAGATGGCTGCGGTCAGGAATGAATGGAAGAGAAATACATATTACGCCCACCACAAAAAAATCTTCTATATACATATATATATTTATTACAAATAAGTATACATATATATATGCAGGCTGGCTTTTAAAAAGAAAAGAAATATTGTCGAGTTTCTTGTCAGTAATCAATTGAATCTGTATATTGAACTGGGTGGTAGGGAAAAAACATTAATACAAAAAATTTGACGGGGGTTCAGAAGGGGTTAAGTTAGGGATCTTACATGTATAAATGATTTTTGAATTAGAATTTTGAATATACGGACCTGTACGGTAAGGGAAAAATATGAATACAAAAAAAATTATACGTTCATAAGCGGCTAAAATGTCCTACATGAATAAATATTTTTTTATTTGATTTAAAGGTGTCATTAACTCTAACCTCCACAAAATAAACTTTGTATGTTTAGTTATATTTCCGACTAACTCTCCGGTGATGGTAACACCGATAACATACCCCAGAACCGATAAGAAAGACATTAATCATCAGACGGCAGTAGTCTCGCCCCCTGCCACATTGTATTCAAATATACTGAGCGAAATGTGGACATGTCAAGTGTTGTGTTCACCACCACGACCACAGTTGATTATGACTCTGACTACCCCGTCTCGGGTTATAGTCGTAATGGTATATTAATTTACATTTTACATTAACTTAGTATGTTTAAGAATACATTTGTTTTCGTTTATATTAATTTATTATTTCTTATTCAATTACTTGAAATGAAATTTAAATTCTAAATAGGTATTTGTTTATATAAATGCATAAAAATATAATTATTAATAATTTACTTATGAAATAACTTACAATATATAAATAATAAGTAATTAATAATAATAATTAAATAATATGTCGTAAAGAAAATAGTGTTATAAAACTCTATATATTTTTTTGACTATTTACAAAAATAACAAATTTTAATACGAAAAAACATTTTTTATACGAAAAACATTTTACTTGTTTTTCAATATTTGAATGAGATATCAATATGCTGATTTTGAAAACGCGTTCTTCAAATGTAGATTAAAAATATATTTTTTTAACTGGACTTTTTCTAAATATATGGTAACCCCACCAATTATCGGGAAACAATTTTTCCAGCGATGTCGCATGTTTTGTCAGCGTACAACGTGTCGAATTACGTGTTTTTAAAAGCAACATTGTAATAATGACATTAAAGTTGAAATTCATCAATCATGAATGTTGAGTTACCTACTTTTTATGGAGTATTTAGTACGTGTACCGTTTTCTTTGAGAATTTCCTTACCTGGTAAGGTTCATCCGGTTTGCCAGGGTAAGAGGCGCTTCGCCTGTAATCTGGTGCTCGCGGCGGGGCCGGCGCTCTCCGCCAGGGAGCGAAGGCCGACGGCTGAGGGGGCTGCGGTGCCGGCCATCTGTACTGTGGGGCCCGCCGGAACGGAGCCCTATATTGTCTCTCGTCGTCTGCGACGCTTGGTGCGCCGGGGTACTGTAGCTCGCCCATACAGACATACGTCCGACCAACGCGGAGGTCGGACGTGCACTAAGTCCCGATAAGAGATATCGGGTCGATGCTGTATGCGCGCGCACGCGGCGTTCCATTTTCGAAAAATTCGCCGCGACATATCATTTCGAAATTGGAATACTACATTTTTAATTTTCTTATTAAAATATTTTTAATCTGTGCCTTTATATTTATTAGAGTATTATAGTTGTTTTCTGTTTCATAATGTTTTCAATTATGCCAGTGCGTGTTCATACATCCTATTTAAATTTGAACTTTAATGCTTAGGATATAGAGTGCATTTCTGTTAGGTAGCGTAACACAGCTGATACGCCCCATGTTTAAATTCTTCCTACAGCTGGGGCGTAATTTAATTATTCATTTAGCGATATCTCTATTCTCACCGTAAAATAATATTGACTGTGGTTATAGAATTGAATACATTTTAAAACTATATAGATAAGGCGTAGTAAGTAGTAAATTATAACGAGTAAACAGAAAGAGATAGCGAGAAGAAAGTGTATAGCGTGTAAGTGAGATAGAAACAACATGTGTTAAGCGGTAGTTTTGTTTTTTTTTCATCGGATATTGCGTTGTGTCATGTGTCTATATGCCACGTCAGAAGTTATATCCCGTTGTTTGTTTTGCCGTAAGGATTGCAAACAACTAACTGTTATCCGCGACTTCGCATGTTATTTTAGAGAAAAGATAGCCTAGTTACGAAATCTATCGTAATATCAAACTTAATTGATATTTGTTCTGCCATTTGGATTTAAAAAAAAAAACACGAAACTGTTATGTCAATCAAGTCATTCATGTAGGACATTTTATCCGTTTATGAATGTAATTTTTTTGTATTTAATTAATCCGTACCGTTACATTTCGTATAATATTAGTATAGAAATAAATAAATAACACATTATTACACTTCACACAGCGCCATCTAGTCCCAAACTGAGCAAAAACGGTACTATGTGCATTAGACAAACGATAGACATACATACATATTTCTTTTGGAAACGGCTATATAACAGATATAGAAGGGGGAGGATGGGGGGGGGGGGGGTTGTTAGTTATGTGGACCAATGATCTTATTGCTAGCAATGTACCATGTCAGGTTGACTTCCACGAGGTTCCCCCTGGAAACCATCATGTTAAATGGTGAACTTGTCACGATGGGCTAACTGACCTGACCTCATGTTCATCTTAACATCCTCCACTGGTGCCCCGCCAGCGTAAACCGTTAGCGCAGGCGGGTGCACCATTCCATTATCATCCACAAAAAAAAACCCTACTGGCGAGGGGGGGAAGGGGGTCGTTAGTAATTAGGACATCAGTCCAGTGGCTTTTAAAAAAAGTAATTCAATTGAGTTTCTTGCCAGATCTACTCAATTGGATCTATATACTGAACTGGACGGTAGGGAAAAAACTATAAGATAAAAAATTTTACGTTCATAAGCGGCTAAAATGTCCTACATGAATAAATTGTAATGATTTTTTCATTTTGAATTGAATAAGTAAGTAAGGACTTAATCGGTACAAGGAACCGAGCCTTTACAGGCATATACTGCACTGCGGAGTTGTTACCGCATCCTATATTGTGGTGCGATGAATGAACTGCGAAGGAGAGGGCCGGGGAGGGGGGCAGGGCAAGGGAGGGGGTTAGGAATAGGGCCTAATAATATAGGTTTCTGTTTTTCATTAATAATGGTATGCAGAATTTGGCGAGATTTTGCCAAACTGAAGAGGAAACACTACAACATCGTATGCAACGGCGGATCCAGGGGGGGTCATGGGGGTCATGACCTCCCCGAGCCCAGGATTTAAGTGGATCACTAATTGAACATAATGATTTTATTTATATATTTTGTCACCACACAGATTTTATTAAATATCTTTAAGTACAGTATTTACGTACATTAATAAAATACCTACATTTTACTTGCATCTATTATTATCAAAATTAAATAATAATTTCTTGACTTGACCAAGACTATGTGACCCCCTACTGGCCAAAGCTGGATCCGACTTTGTATGTGCTTGTAGCCCACTCAAGCATAAACGAAACATCTTTGGAAAGTTTACACTATATCCTGAGGGAATAAAAACCATCGCTCCTAAGAATATCCTACAATTCTCGTCTCTTGACGGGTCTAGGTAGCGAACTTTGAAATAGGGCGGGCACAATAGATCTATGCAGGTCACAGTGTGTAGCATATTACAATAGCCCTGTTTGTCAGGTGCTTCACAACCCAATAAAAAAAATGGAATGTCCTTTCTCCACCCTACTTAGAACTTTCCCCTATGAGACCCTTCATGCTCATTCTCATCCTATCATCCTCCACTGGTGCCCCGCCAGCGTCAGCCGGCAGCGCTGGCGGGTGAAGTACAACATTAAAATCATTAAAAAACTCTGGATAATTCACATTAATAAGTGCGGTGGTTTATCTCGACCAACAAAAGGTCGTGAGTTCAAATAAGGTTATAACAAAAAAAAACTGTATGCCAATTAATATTGCTAACTAACTCTCCGCTGAAGGAAACGCCAAACTAATCTATTTTGCAGCCTTTAAAGTTTGCTTAGTAAGGTGTGTTTGTAGGGTGCAGATTAGAAAGCGAAATTACAGAATAAGAGCTCCAAGAACATGTGAACAAAATTTCATGATGATCGGTTCAGTAGTTTTTGCGTGAAAGTTTAACAAACATCTCTACTTACACATTTAGGTATAATATTATTAAGAACTAGCTGCACCTGCCACTTCGTCCGCGTGGAACTTAACTTTAATTTTCTTAAATAAAAGTAGTCTAAGTTACTCCTTATTACATCAGCTATGTGTCAATAAAATTCCCGTCAAAATCGGTCCAGAGATTAGCCGGAACAAACAGACAGACTTTGTAAAAAATGTTATTTTGGTGCATGTACCGTATTTATATTCATATGCATGTAATAAAAAACGGATATTTCAATATTACAGGCACTCCAATTTTATTTATATGTATAGATATTGCAGAATACCATAAAGTGTTAAAAAAAGAAAACTGTGTTTCAATTGATAGGAATAGCTAAAATTAACAAGTGCACGGACTGCTGTCTATGGAAATAAATAAATAAAACGTTGTTTGCCACTACAATTACATAAAAAAACTAGCTTTTGCTCGTGGCTTCGCTCGCGTTAATTTATCCCCATAGGAGTGGATTTTATCAAAATCCTTTCTTAGGGGATGCCTACGTCATAGTAGCTTTATGCATGGAAAGTCTCAGCCCGATCGGTTTAAATTTGACACAGTTTCATACAAACTTTCATCCCCTATTTTATCGCCTTGGGGGTAGTATTAATCAAAGTCCTTTCTTAGCGGATGCCTACGTCATAACATCTACCTGCATGCCAAATTTCAGCCCGATCCGTCCAGTGGTTTGGGCTGTGCGGTGATAGATCACTATGTCAGTCACCTTTGAGTTATATATATTTAGATGTACATGACCTATTTCGTACCATAATAATCCAATAAGTAATTTAAAAATAATTTTTGTTATTGTTATATGTATGGAATACACTTGTTTTTTTTCTTTCTTTCTATATATAGGTTAGGAGTATTTTTTTGTTTTTATATCATCATTACATAGTAGGTATAAAACAAAGTCGCTGTCGCTGTCTGTCCGTTCCTATGTATGCTTAAATCCTTAAAACTACGCGACGGATTTTGAAGCGGTTTTTTTAATAGATATGATAGAGATATTCAGTGGATTACGTATACAGTTGTAAATATAATTTATTTCGTTCCGATTGCAGTTGCACGTTACATACAAACTGTTACTAAGCAACAACACTTATTTTAAATGTGATGGATTATACTTTTTCTACTTCAATCAATGTGCCTAATAAGATAGAGTGATTCAAGAGGAAGGTTTATATGCATAACTAGCTGACACCGCGGACTCCGTTCTGCCTTAAAATTAAATATGTCAAAGGTTTTTTGAACTTCAGTTACACAATAAATTTCTTAACGCACCCTGTTTGACAGGTATCAGCAGTTTGTATGGGAAAATATAATTGTTATTTTTACTATTTTATATGCAATATATTCATATTTTATCACCGTTTAAATATATACATAATTTTTATTTTTAATATTATTATATAACTAGTATTTACATAACCTAATTGTACAACTAAGAACTAAAATAAAAAGCTTAAAAAAAAAAATAGAATATGATAACTAAAATATATTATTAAAAGGGGTCCCTTTAGGCAACGTTCCGAAGATACTGGCAGCGTTCCCTCTTTGAATAGCTAGACTAATTCTTTGTCCAAGGTAGCTGCCAGCTCTTCGGTCTTCTGTGATGTCGACTAACCTTTTCGTTATTTCTTTGAAGAGTCTTACATTATTATATTATATTATTATATCTAATATTATATACATAATATTTCAAGATTAAAATTAGCCAAATCGGTTCAGCCGTTCTCGAGTTTTAGCGAGACTAACGAACAGCAATTCTTTTTTATATATATAGATACATGTACACCCGTGCGAAGCCGGGGTGGGTGGTTAGTTTTACATAGTTAATTTTTACCATAATCGCGATGTCTTCTTTCTCTGTCTGTTGTATATGCTGCATCTTTGGTCATTTTGTCCCATTGGCCGATATTCGGAACCGTTGTAGGTAAACTTGGCTCCCTCCCAAACTGGTACTGTACTGCAATGCACCAATAGTCGATTATGTTAATTTATATACGGAATACATTTATATTTTTGTTTATAACAATTTATTTATTTATTTATTTTTAAGGATTACCAACATAAGATACAGCAATAAAAAAAATTGTTGTAAAAAATCATTCTATACAATTCTAATGATCTTAAACTAACTGTTCTCGTAATTATAGGTAACCACAACATGCTTTGAGTTACAAGATTATATCACTACTATTACATATGTCAATATAATAGTAAAGCGAAAAATTACCTGCAAAAGCTGAGTTAATGAGATATAAATAAATAAATAATAAATAAATAAA